AATGAAGAAGGACAGATCCACGCATTTTGGTGCGCATAGAAAGGCCAGATCTCTTCATAAATCTATAGCACCACGATGGTGATTCGATGAAATCCTGAATGCCTTTCTCCTCAGCAATGCGTTTGGCCTCATAGATTATCATTTTTTTTGAGACAGAAAGTCCATTTTGCCGGTGACGTGTGATCCACTCCTTTACTTCTACCTCTAACTCTGGCCACTTTGCAGTTGGTCCACGCAAGGTGTGCTTGCTTTATCCAACTTTTGGAGCTGATCCTCCTGTTTCCTCCACTCTCTTATCATTTTCTCAGTTGGAGGTGGCCCAAAGTGTCTCTCCGCTGCTCTGTTTACATGCTCCTTAGCAAATTTTATTACTTCCAGCTTGAAAGCAACTTTATATGCCAGTCTCTTCTGCTTCGACATCTTGATGATGGGGTGTGGTATGAAATATGATATATTTCATTCAGATATACCATACTACATATTATCAAGCTCACAGCTATCTGCGCCTCCGCTGCTCCCGCACTGCGATTGGCTGAGCGAAGAGACACGTTGCCTTCACCCGCTCCCGCGCTGGCTTACGAAAACTGTAAAAAGTGCACAAAGCCAGCGCGGGAGCGAGCGAAGGCACGCCTCTTCGCTCAGCCAATCGCAGCGCGAGGCAGAGACCGTCCAAATACAGTGCGAGGCAGAGCGGGACTTCCTGGTCTCAGACGGCGCCAAGAGGTGGAAGGGAACGGAGTGGCCGAGTATTCCTGCGGTAAGGTACGTATACAGAGGTGGAGGGGCAGCGGAGAGCCATGGTGGGCTTTTGTATTTGCCGTATAAGACGCAGGCACTTTTCCCCCCCTGATTTTGGGGAGGAAAAGTGCGTCTTATACGGCGAAAAATACGGTAATTTATAACTTTTGCCTGTAAAATATGTTTTTCAGGCAAAAACATATTTTGAACTCCGTCTGGAACTATTAGAAAAGACGTCATTCGTTTGGATTGCATTCTGAATGACTCATTTCATCAGAGTGCTTACAATATCATTGCACAACCCTGGATTTCTGTTCTCAGAAGAAAGGAAACGAGTCTTTGGTTATCTATTATTATAAAATATAACTTTGTTTTCTTCTATAAAACAGTTAATATTTTTCATTCAATTAGGACGCAAAGAATTCAGAATATTGTTGCGTTTTTCTTTTCTGACACCAGTTGTTACGTTATTTACTTCCTTCATGTTCGTACGGGGTTCGTGTGGAATTGGAGTGAATAACGACGACACTTGATGAAGTATCGAAACACGCTTTATTTAGCCAATATTAATCAGAACAGCTCCAAAGTCACTTTTTACAGTCGTTGAAGATCTACTATAAACACGCTGGAACAATCAGCGACACAGCTTTCACACTGTCAGGCAATAACGGTAGAGAAAGCTTCCTGCAAAGCACCCGACTCTGCTTTCCGAAGTACAGCTCCCGACTCTTCGGTTCAGTCGTTCCCGGAGCTCAACACGCTGTCTCGTCTATGCACTAACCGCGATACACTAACAGACTCCTTCGGTGCACTCGGCGACCCACTCGGCACTCGCTGCCCGGCTGTCAACTCGATCGACTCCGCAGGGATTGACTCGCTAGACGAGACACTCGCTCAATGACTGACTAACTCAGCTCGCTAGACTAGGCACACACACACTCGCCACACTGCGGACCAGCAAGGATTTATATAGCTTTCGGCTTGCGTTCGAGAGCATTCTGGGCTAAACCGGTAATAATACCTTCCAGAAGGTTCTCCATCCATTCATGGTATGTCGTCAATATTGCCAAATGTCGCCAAATGGACGATTGCTTGCCAAATGTGGAAACCCTGCCTTCCCTTGTCATTTTATGGCAACCCTAAAACTGCTTTGCGGGGAAGCCATCTTACCGCACCAGTACATTTCGTAACAATATTTTTAGAGAGGTCCCTGAATACAGAGGATGCTTGCACATTTTCAGAGCGAAAAGTTTTTAAAAGCAAATATTTTGGACTAACAAAAATTTATGCGAATAGCTTTTTATTTGAAATGATAAATATCATCTGCTACTTTTAAATTAATTCTTCTTTGAAAATGCACGTAAACAAGCTATGAATTGAAGAATACTTTAAGAAAAAACGGTATTCCTATTTTATATTTAAGAAACGTTGTGAAATGCATGGTATGAACATTTGTAAGTGTAAAATAAGCAACATTATTAAACTGAAAAGGAAAAATCGTCGATCATTGATTCTACATATAAAGAAGATTCCAAATAAATACCCGAAAAAGGTACATGTTGTTTCTAATGTTTCTAAAGTTAAATCATTGATGAAAAGAGAAAATCCGCCGACGCAGAAATCAACTGCAGAATCTTTAAATACCACTGTAGCAACAATAAATAAAATAACAAACCAAGATTTACAGCTTAAAAAAGCTAAAAAACATAATGTTCACCAGTTTTTGCCGAGGAATGTGGTTCAGCACAAATATATTTGTAAAAACATGTATCAAATCTATTTAGCAGGAGATAAATGGAAATATATTTGATTAAATGATTGTGATTGCATCAAAAAAATCAATTTGTTATCGAAACCAAAAAAAAAAAAAAAAAAGTATATAAACCAAGTTTTGCCAATGCAAAGAAAGTTTCAGTAAGGGATTTATGATTGTAGCAGGATTCTCTTACAATGGAAAATTAAAAATAAACGGTAAGCAGCAGAAAAAAAAATGTTAAATTCAACTCAATCAAGAGAAATGTTCGATATGTACAGGAGAAATTCCATTACTTTATACCAATAACTTTCAAAACTGAAGCTTCAACAAGAAAAAGCGACAGTTCATATTTCGAAAAGTACCATTGTATTCCTTGAAAAAAATGTAGATAATACAAGTATTGCTTATATACCTACGTATTCCTGCAAAGTCCCTGATGTTTCAAAGATGAGTTATTGTTCCTTAGGTCTCTTGAAAAGAGCCCTCTCTAAGCCCACACCTGCTGCTATTGATGCACTCTGGAAAGTGGTGGAGAAGGAATGGAAATCAATATGTCTGGAAATTTTACGAAAAGCCCTTCTATTAGAGATATCAGAATGCATACTTATATTTCAGAAAAGGGCGATGATATCGAACATTTAAAATATACTCTCATATTTTGAACATTAATTAAAAGATACTAAGTTCGTTCTAAAAATGTGTAAACATCTTCCGGATATGCTCTCTATACAAATTTATAAAGAGGTGTCTTTTTTTGTCTCATAATTTGAAAGAAGTACATTCATTTTACTACTGCTCCCCCACCCTCAAAAAAAATAATAAAAAAATAAAATACATAAATAAATAAAATAAAAAAACCATTCGGATGGTTCAAACACTTTCTGAGTAAGGAAGGTATCCGTGTCTACTGCATTTGAAATCTTTCAAATCCAAACTTTTTCTGTCTGTATTCTGTCTTAACATTCCTAAAACAGTTACTTAGATTTATTTATTCACATATGCAGAGTATATAATTATTAATAAAACTGAATTAAAAATGTGCTAAATTTAATAGGACATGGAAAATTACGCATTATAATTATAAAAAAAAACTACATCCGGATTAAAAGGGCGGCTATCCCACTGCTGATGCCTTATTATCTCAAGTACCTCAGTTTTTTAATGTGACCCCCATAAGGCAAATCTTATTAGGGCCCCATAAGGCAAATCTTATTATATGACCCCCATACGGCAAATCTTATTATGTCGATGGAAAAATTTATCTCGTTTAAAATAATATTTATTTATTTAAGGATAACAATCTTAAATAAATAAATAAACTGATTAATTTGATGAGTTTTTCTTACAAAATTCTTGCCTAAACAAAGTAGATTTATCTACATGCATTAGCATTTAAGATAGTTAGGTCGAATTTCAAAACTAAAGCTGTTACGAACAAGTTACCAAGAAATCATCGTCCACAAAAGGTGCATAACTTTCTTATTATTGTTGAGCATTGCTGTTTACGACTGGAGCAATAATTTCTATACTAATTTTTGATCTGCTAATAAACTAATGGATACCACAGTTAGTGTATAATTAAATTGGTATTTGGCACTTAATTAATACTGTTCTAATATTTTGCAGTTCAAACCAGATTCCATACGATTTTAATATCAACCAGATTTTGGTTCTGAGTATGAGTTATAATCCACTATGCAATCTATCCCCTGTTTGTCTGAATGAAATTTTGACAACTTAACAGCAGAGATTTCACTTCATTAATTAATCATCCAATAAGAAGCAATGCTTTCTATCCTAAGTTTATAATTATGTGAAATAAAACACTACTAATTCAAGTTAAATAAAAAAATACAATAGTGGATTACTTAAAATTCATCTATTAATGCATCTTTCAGATAAAGAAGATACTGTCGCTTAAGAGATGCATCAATAGACAAATTTGTAAAGAAAGATTGCCTTCTGCTCTCACTATGTTGCATGTTATTTGACAATTAACTTACGACAGTCTTAAGAATGAACAATGTGACTAAGTTGTAATTCGGTGAAGAACCCTCTGATGCTGACACAGACTTTTTCCGTCTGTTACCTCATCCGTTAGTAGGGGAAAGGAATTAGGAAAGTTATTTGAGGAAGTGTGAATTTGCGCAGCTGTTTTGCGCATAGAAGAAACTCCTTCTTCTAAAGCACTGACGGAGTACTTGGAGGTGATACAGAGACCGTTCTTCGTTTCCGGTAAGCGGAATTTCTGAAGTTAGAAAACATACACAATAATTCCTGTCTAACCTTATTTTGCATGAAATATCATTATTTTTGCATGTTTTGAAATATTTTTTTCCTTCTAATGCATTAAAGAAGAAAAAAAAGAGGGAAAACATTTTACTAATATTGCATTTATGAAAAATAAGAATAATAGTTAGGCTACGGACGATTTCTTTTCCCTTTAGTGTAGGAACTCGAATATCGTGCTCAAATAATATTTCGGTGAATTTATGTTTTTATACAGGAACTTAAGCAACGCTTTGAAGGAATACTTTGATAAATTAAGTCTCAGAGCTGAAGGATCTCGAGGAATAAGCTTTGGTCCAGCAGGACGGATTGCTGAAGAGCACAGGAACGGCCACGCACCCCCTGAAAGCAAGCCCCAAAACGGAGCGAAAAGGAAGAAATCATCTGCTTCCATCCAAGCACTAGATAGAACAGCAGTGAACGGCTCTGCGACATCTTCCCAACAACAGGCACCTTCTCAACAGCAAAAGCCAGCTCCCGAGCAACTTCAGCAACAAAAGATCGTATCTGAGCAGCCTCAGCAACAGAAACCAGTACTCGAGCAACCGCAGCAACAAGAGGAATCACCTGAACAGCAGCAAATGGCTCAATCTCCAGAAGCTCCAGAACCGAGAATAAATGGAGATGACAGAAACACAATTTCCACTGGAGAAAGTCAACAAACTGCACAGGCAAGCCTTAAGTATAGTTCTGTATGATTACGCAAACTTACAAACTGAAAAAAATGTGTGTGTAAACAATAATGTTTTTCATACAGGTTAATGCCGACACGACTCCAGTGGTAAACAGTGAAATTCCAACTAGACAGACAGAAGACGGGGAAGAAAATCAATCAACATATACTCCCAGAAGAGCTAGAAGATACGATGATCCACCAATTTTTTTCCCAGATGTTGATGTAAGTTCTTATATTTATTCCATTAGCATTTAAATTCTGTGGCATATAATTGAGCATACATATGATTTCAATAATATTTTATTTATGTTGGAAAAATACACGAACCGCCATTTAAGACATTGAAATTACTCCATGAGGGCTTTTTTTTTTTTTTTTTTTTTAAAGCAATTAGCAGTGTATATGTGCTTGCTTAACTCAAATACGTACACAAATGATGAGATAAATGTTTTGAAGATGTATTGGTATTTAACGTGGGATTCTTCATTCAAGCTATTCGTATTAATTAAAAATATTAAAAAAAAGGTTTAAAATGCGGTAGAAAATGTCAACGGCTCAATCATCCCTCATCTCTTTGGATTGTTTACATAATTTATAAGTTTTCTGATTTATTATTTATTCATAAGTATAATATTTAATAACTTATCTTGGATGTCATATTGTTTCAACTCTTCACACGGTTTTTATTGTTTAAATTTAGTAGTTTTCTATACGCTGCAAGTAAAGATCAGAAGTTATCAATCAGTGAGACGTAAGATCTTTCATTCGTTATCCGTATCATAAAAAAGCTTTACTCATCAACAAAATAAATTATGTAATTTTACACATGTAGTATGTAATTTTACACATGTAGTATGTAATTTTACACATGCTTTCTGGTAGTATAAAGTAATATGTAATTACATATGCTTTCTGATAACGTTTTGCAATAGATATTATTACTTAATATTAATGTAACAAATATAATACATTTTTAATTCTGTGTAATATGTTCACTGTAAAGTTTCAATTCTACATCTTGTCTACACTTGTAGTACTCAAAAACAAAACTACTGGCTTTGATGAATTTTGTTTTAAGGATTACTTTCTCTAACTGGATTACTTTCTCTGTTTCCTTTTAAATTTATTCAAATGAAAATCTGTATTTTAAATAGTAACGTTGTAGTATCATTATGTTATATCGAGGAAGGAACATGAAAAATGCGCAATGCCCTCGCCGGAATTCGAACTCTAGTAACACCACAAAAGCATGTGGGAAAGAGGAAGAAAATAACTTGTATACGCCTCCTTTTAAAGAGAGACTGGGGATTAAGGAACGCAATCGCCAAAATTCTGGTGTTGACGAATTATCATCCACCAACTTTTAGTTCCGGCGCCACCTGTAGAATCTTTAGAATTTTTTCGATGTCAGGAAATTGAAGGAATCCGCACTCCGATTTTCCGACTACAAGTCGAACGCACTTTCAATTACACCACAAAAGCATGCGGAAAGGAAAGAAAAAATAACCTTATAATGTATTTTTTTTATTATTTTGATGCTTTTTTTATTTATAACATTTTACACTCATGTACGCATACATATGAAAAGGGGTGGCTGAAATGTTTTCAATTACTTTTTGAATGATTTTTAATTTGGTTCAAAGAAAAAGATTTAGAAAGAAAAGATTTGACGCAGCAGATTTTGCTTTTATTTGTTAAGCGCATTTCGATAGCTGGAAAATAAAAAGCAATAAACTTAGCCATTTGTTTATAATTCATGCTGTTCCTAATCATAAATTAATTTTGAACATTAGTACCCAAGGCCACAACTTAGAAAGAAGCGAACGATCTGTCTGCATGGCAGTTTTCGTGGTTCTTCCATGTTGTACGTTTCACAAATATTTTTTTAGCCGTATAAATAACAAAACTTGCCATAAATGATGTTTTCAAAAGGAGTGATACGTATGGATGCTGTACTTAATAGCAAATAAAAATAAGTTTCTGTTAAAAAGACAATAGTATCTCATTAATTCTCTTACAGTTTACCGATTTATTAGCATGTCAGCACTTTATGTCGCCATTTCCGGCCTCATATTGCTCCATTTTCAATGATAATATTTTTTTTACGTCGGTTTGCTATCTCTTAACAGTAGGTATTTTGTCTTCTTGTTGCTGTGCATTCCTTAGTTTTAACAACGTTGTCTTCCAACCGAACAGGGCCACTTCGAAGTCCGAATTTTGAATTTCGAATTTGTTTTATTATCTATCTCAAATTTTGCAAAACTTGAATGAATTTTTAATTAACAAGCTCAACCATTTAAAAACCCGTAATAGCAACACTGTACGAGGAAAAATATTAATCTGCAGCGTGCAGCGGGGCGTAATATAAAATCTGAATGTATTCAGATTTTCTTTATTTCTCTTTAGCCCAAAGGGCGTTAGCCCAGAAGGACTATTAACTTCGTTTTGTCATTTTCCGTTGAAAACTTAAATGCCCGTTTCACTTTTTAGATTTTTGCCACCAAATCGTCCTGTGTTATATTTAAAGAAATTAAACAATGAAGACTTTGCATAAATATGTGTATGTTCTCGTATTGTGATAAAACAACGGTACCTAGGGCCATCAAATTTTGAATAACGTACGTCTTCACCCGAATATGGGCATTTGGAATGCCAAATCTGGAATTTGTTTTATTATCTGTTTCATATTTTATAACACCTTAACGAATTTATGATTAACAAACTCAGCAATTTCGAAGCGAGCAATGGCAACTCTGTAAAAAAAAAAAAAATTATCTCCAGCGCGTGAGACTGTGTATCGAAAATTCTAAAGATATGCTCTTTTAAATATTCTGCGATATTGCTGTTAAGCTGAATTTTATGGTTTAAGTGCGAAGAACATGATATTTAATAAATAAAAATAACACCGAAAAGGTTAAAAAAAAGTCCCTTTGGACGTGATATAAAGTCTGAAAGCTTTCAAATATTTTTTTTAAATATTTTTCTTCAAAAATTGAAAAATAATCATTGCAAAATGTAGTGGTGGTACTAAGGTTTTCAGTTTTTATTTAGATGGTACGCGTTAGTCAAGAGATTGAGAACCGATGTTCTATGACATTTAAAGGTTTCATTCAAACGAAAGACTAGTACCTATGTAGTATGTACAATCGTACAGTATATAAACAACTCTAAAATACTTATATTCAATAAAGAATAACTTTTTTTAACATTGAAGAAATTGTGCAGTATTTAGCACACAAAAAGTTACGAATAAATAGAAAAAATTCTAGTCAAAGAAAATATTTCTCGGTAAAGAATTTGAAATAAATTATGCAGGTGAAGAAAAGTTTAAAAAGAAAGACCTGAAGTGGAAAATTGATCTAAAAGAAATAAATAATGATTAAGAAACAATAAAAATATACCTTTTAATGCTGAGAATAACGTATGTCAAAGAAAGTATTGGGAAGTAAAAAAGGAAAGATTACGATTAAGTATATCGAATATTTTTTATTTCCTGTGAAAGTTACGTCCGAGTTTGAAGTCAATGACTTTTTTCTAATTTTAAGCAACCTTTGATTTAATATCAGATGTCTAGCTGAAACAGAAGTTCATTTCCTTACTGTTTCATAGTAATATGAAGGCTTAAAAGTATTTGAAATGTAAAAAATTCAATATTCAGAAGCTGTTTTCCTAATTCTGTGAATAACTTTTGTTAGACGCAGCCTATGAAAAATTCTAGAACTCACATTTTATTAAATAACATTAAAGTATGTAATAATTTCTAAATTACATGGCTTAACTCCTGTCCTCTTTTTTTTTTTTTTTTTTTTTTGCCAATCATTGTATTGTATAATCTTTGCATTACTTCAGTTCTGCTTTAAATTTTCCCCGTAAATACAGAATACATGAACGTTGTTTCATTGAAAAGAGCAATTTTTGGTTAAAACCATTTAAAAGAATTAGTTTCTATTCATATTACGCATTACGAAAACCAAAAGAAATTTGGCTAGATTACGTCACTCCAAGTATAGCCTACTGCTGACCGACAGAGTAGAACTGGAAATACCACTGCTGAGATGTGCTAAAAGCCTAGCATCGCTCGATTTTCTTAGATGTACTCTCCTGTAACATTAATATGAGCCAGTTTTCTTTAAATGGTCCTTCAGGAAAGGACCTAACCTAACCTTCAGGAAAGCACCCCTCTTAAGCTGAATAACTCTTCAGTATTTAAGGTAAATAATCCGCCAGTAGTGCGAAAGCAAATAACTTAATATCACTTGAACATAAATATCGACAACGTTAGATGTACTGAATTTGTTAAAAATTTTATCAACTTTGTACTATTAAAATTTTTTGATCATTAAATAGATAAGTGAAAGTTCACTTACCTTCTAAATAGGGCTGCCCTGAACTGTCTGCTTTTCCTTCTTGTCGGTATCCGTCTCTATGATGAACTTCGATTCACTTCGAAACACAGCTATAAACGTTTTAAGAAATTTTAATTCATACGAAAGATATCTACAAAATATTTACAAGTTATAATGATTACAAGACGCTGGAAGGTATCAGGTATCACTTCCATGGCTTCAAATTCATCCTGAGTTGCCAGATAATAGAATCCTTGCAGAAAAGCGTCTGAAGTCTTGCGTGAGAACCCTTCAGACTAAGAATTCCTTGGAAGCCTACGAAACTGTTTTAAAGGATTGGGTTAGAGAAGAGGGAATAATTGAATGAACTATCGATATTCGGAGGGCAGAAAAGATCAAAGGGCATTATCTGCCACATAGAGCAGTGTTTCGGGAAAATTCGACTACCAAAATTCGACCAGTGTTCGACGCATCTGCAAAGGAGAAAATCGGTATCTCTGAACGACGCCTGGAAAAGGGTCCTAATATCTTGAATTGATCCCCAAAATTTTGATAAAATTTCGAGAGGGTAAGTATGGAGTAATTTCGGATATAAAAAGAGTATTTCTTCAGATAGGTGTGAACCCAGCGGATCGAGATTTTCTCCGGTTCCTATGGTGGAGAAAGGACAGCCTGAAAAACTGACTATATATCGGCACCGAAGGGTTGTATTCGGCGTAAACGCCAGCCCCTTTTTACTTGCTGCCACGATTAACTACCATTTGGAAAATGTACCAAAACATCATCAGGAAATAGCTTCAAAGCTAAAGAAAGCCATGTATGTGGATAACTGCGTAGCGAGTGTGGAATCAATTGAAGAATTAAACTCATTTATCAAAGGATCTAGAGAAATCATGGCTACTGCAAAATTTGACCTAAGAGGTTGGAAACATAATAGACTTAAAAATGAAACTTCAATTCTAAACCTTTCTGATAAAGATTATGAAGATGTTGTGTCAGTATTGGGATTGAAATGCGACTTGTTTGACGATACTTTGTCTTGTCACGTAAAATATGAAGAAAACCCTGTATTGAGCAAAAGATCTGTTCTTTCCGAATTGAGTAAAATCTTTGACCCAATTGGGTTTACTAGTTCAGTTACTCTCATGCCTAAATTGATTCTGCAAGAGTGCTGGAAACAGAAAATTAACTGGGATACTAATCTGCCGAAAGATCTAGCAAGGAAATTTTTCACATGGTCATCTCAGTTAAAATATTTGAAAGACATCAAAATTCCTAGATTGCTTCCCAAAATAGACGAAAGTACCACTCTGCATGTATTTTCGGACGCAAGCAAGGACGCCTATGCGACCTGCATTTTCCTTAGACACAGCGGTGAGAGTGGAGTCACTTGTCAATTGATACAATCTAAAGCGAGAGTTGCTCCCCTAAAAGCACTCACCATACCTCGACTAGAGATACTCGCTTGCACTATTGGAGACAGGCTCTCTCATACAATAAGAGAAGACTTGAAATTAAAAGAGGTTCCAGTTTTTTTTACTGGACGGATTCCACAAAATGCTCTCTTTTGGATAAAAACAGAAAGAAAATTGGTCCACTTTTATAGCCAATCGAGTAAATGAGATTCGAAAATTGAGTAACCCAGATCACTGGCATCACATTCCCGGAAAGTTTAATCCTTCGGATTTGCCATCACGCGGTTGCTCTGCAAAAGAATTGAGGAAATCCGAATGGTGGAAAGGACCAGATTGGATTTATCGACCTCCAGAAGAGTGGCCTATTGCAGATGGAGAACATCCTGACTTCGATATAGTAAAGGGAGAGAGAAAACGAACTGTGGTTTCAGCCAGCAATAACACGAATGCAGATAATTTAAACTTTTTGACAATATTTCAAAATTCGAAAAGATCATAAAGGTCGTATCTTGGATCTTTAGATTCATTAAAAATGCTACAACACCACCATCTGAAAGAACTCATGGGAGAATTTCAGTCGAAGAACTAAAAGGAGCTGAAACAGTGGTTTTCCGACTCATCCAACGAGAATCTTTCGAAGGATTGAAAGATAAAAGAATACGTGCTCTAGAACCTATCATGGACTCCAATGGCCTTATAAAAGTGAAAACACGTATCTTTCAGAGAGACGACGATGCTGACTTTCGTTACCCAGTTTTACTTCCCTTCAGAACATCCATTAGTATTAAAGCTTGATCAAATCGGAACATGAAAAGGCTAAGTCACGCTGGAGTACAATTCGTTATGTGCGCTTATGCCTGAAAAATATTGGATCATAAAGAGTAGGCAAGACAGTACGTAAAGGTTATCCAAAAACTGTGTACGATGTCGAAGGTTTCGACTCTGATTCATACAAGACTTCCTCAAGCGCCACTACCTGAAGAGAGAATAAGAGATGCTTCAATTTTTGAGATTATTGGTGTTTGATCTGACGGGTCCGTTAATTTTAAAAGGAGGTCAGAAAATATGGATCGCCATTTTTACTTGCGCAATATATAGAGCAGTTCACTTAGAGCTGGTCTCATCTCTATCAACCGAAAGTTTCCTGCATGCCTTCAGGCGATTCATCGCTCGAAGGGGTAGACCTGCCACTATATACTCCGACAATGGAACCAATTTTGTTGGATCAAATAATTTGTTTAAGACCATAGATTGGAATTCTATCTTAGAAAATGCAACAGTTAAGAAAATTGAATGGAAATTTATTCCCCCTTCCTCGCCATGGTGGGGAGGGTGGTGGGAAAGATTAATTGGAGTACTAAAGAGAATTCTTCGAAAGGTACTAGGAAAATCTTCTCTGAACTACGAAGAATTGTTGACAATCATTTGTGACTGCGAGAGCATTATGAACAGAATTATTTTTATTGTTCGATTGCTGGTTAACTTGCAGACATAGAGCTTTACCAAGTTTAAAGCGTTTTAAGGTAAATTTTCATTTTTTAAATGGGAATAATATATTTTGCGTACGAGAAGATTGTTGATTGATTATAAATATGTTTCTAGTTTCTTGATATGTCCTTTATCATCTTAATTGCAGGGTCCTAACACATTAAAACGGCTTCTGGAAATGCTGGAAGGCAAACTGAGTAGCGAAGAGAAGAGAAATTTGGATGAAATTATGGAATACTTGACAACGGATGGTGGTGCATGGGCTCTCGGAACGCCACATTTGGATACAATTAGTAAGTGGACTTATATTTATTCAAACATTTTTTCCAATTATGTTCCCTCTGCATGTTATCCAAGTATGTTCCCCGAAGACATTTTAATTATGAATTTGTTGTACAAAATGTAGGCAACAGAAATGTCTTTCAGGTAACAAACTTTGTTTTCAGAGACAAAACAAATATGTTTGATTTTTTTTTCCTTTGTGATATTATTATTGTTTATGTACGTTTTGAAAAACGCTTAGTAGACGAAATTGAAGTTTATTAAAAATATTTTTGATTTTTTTAATAAAAAAATTGTAGCCCGTCAGTTGTTTACAGATCGCGTATGCAGCCCGCGGGTAATTTGAGTTTGAGACCACTGCTCTAAACAACGTTCAGAGCAGCGACGTAAAAAAAAAAAAAAAAAAAAAAAAAAAAAAAAAAAAACTATTTGCTACTGAAAAAAACATATTCAGTAACATATTAATTAGTTTTGTCTATACTTACATGTTTTATGAGAAACTTCTGAACCCATCAACAACGCAAGAGTAGTTTAAAAGTAAGTGCTCAGTAACTATCGCTCAAAGTTTCTAAACCACCTCGGAACTTCAAAATTTTATAAGAAACACAGTAAATAGTATGAGGTAAGACTAACATAGTATTTACTAGTTATAAAAATCCTTCTGAAAGAGGAAAATACAGAAATATAATACAGAATATGATATACGAATATAATATTTAATACAAAATATATATATGCACCATCATTTTTATTTCCTATTTGGTAGTACTATAATAGATCTGTTTCTCTGAGATGAAGCATCTCCAATCACTTAGTAGGATTCTCCACTGTGTAATTCTAAGTTACTGTTGGAAGTGAAGAATCTTAAGAACTGATAAGCGAATAATCACTTGAGTTCGTGTGACGCGAAACAACAAGATAGAAGGGTAAAATAACCCTTTATTATTGTAATTAAAGTTTAACAAAACTCCGTCTTGGAGTTGTACAATAAAGCCGACACTTGGACTTGAATTTAAAAGACGAAGAATTAAACTAAACTAATCTTAACTAAAGAGATATAGCCGAAGCTATTAAAATTCTAATAGAATTGGCACCTTAACGCTAATTGACTGCGAAGTTATCAACGGCCTAAAGTACGGCCGAGCGTAGTAGTAGCTTACGAGAGAGTAGCCTAAAAAGGCGGACGCGTACAGCCGGAATATCTGGTATCTCTCTCACTAGCGACGTGTGTATTACGAGTATATATCAAAATGTGCGTGAATATCTCCTGCATCCTTGGATACATCGTTTAAGTGTGTGTGAATGATATTTCTCCAGATTTTTGTGTTTTAGTGCTTCTAACAAAAGAAAATAGGCAGTCGCAATTTACCGTGTTTTTGTTCACCACTTCTGCCGCTACAGCAACGGAAGGGTCCCGCCTAGCTACCACGTGGTTCCCCTGGTAGGCCTAAGAAATCGGCCAAATATTCCATGTCCAAAAATTAATTTTTAATTAAAATATATGTATATATCTTCGGATCCATTGCAACCAGGAATTTCAAGAACTGGTATGTTTATTTTTTTCAAAATGTTTAACATTTTTACAGGATTTGCATAGTGTTTTTAATTCCATCGTTTTCATCTTCAGTTTCGACATTATAGCTCTCGTCGTCGAATACTTTTCGATAACTTTGAACACTATTCGACAAACTCTAAAAATTTAGTTTTAAAGCTCTAGTTGCGTTCTTTTGATGTGTTTTACATGAGAAAATGATCTTTATGCACTCTGTATTTTACCTTTAATTACTTGAAATGTTTTTTTTAATCTTTTAATTACTGTATTAATTGCTGTATTTTAATTACTTGTATTTTTATGTTTCTACTTGCACTTAAAAATCAGTCAGTTTGATTGTATTTAGAGAATTTTTAGTCATAGTTCATCTGTTAATTATGTTTAGTATCTTACTTATTTTACTACATGTTTTAATTACTGTAGTTTCTTGTTACTGGGTGTGAAAGGGACCTATTGTTACCAAATTTTATCATATATTGGTTGTTATACAGCAATAAGCAATAGCTATTTTACGTTAAGTATTTGATAAAGAGTTACACTACGAGTGTGATAATTTGCAACTCTGAGAAAGTTCTTGGACAGCATGTCCTGTCAATCAGTGATTCCAACTGACGGTGATTCCGCGCATTCACAAAGTGACGTAGACGCCACTAATTTATTGATCTCTGATTTGCCTTACGCAGAGAAAGTAGCTATTTTGTGTGAGGATATTAGACAGGTAGCGGCCACCACCAGAAGTACTAAATATCTTTTACCTACAGTTCTTCGCACCAGACTATTAGACTCCCTGGTTGCGTTGCAGACGCTGGCCTTACAAGGTGCAGAATTAGCAGCGAAGCCAACAAAGATAGACACAGGTGTTAATACATCAACAGTGCTTTGCTGTGAATTGGCTCGCTCTCAGCCTCTACCGATAGCACAACAACCACCTGATTTACAGGCACCTCCACCTTTGCCAAACAGCTTCTCGACCAACTTTTGCAGAGATTATAAAGAAAACATAAGAATCCAAGTCTATACATACGTCCCAAAGCGGACGTCACAGAGGCTGAGCTAAAGGCGCAGCTAAACGCTAAAGTACCACTTTCCAAGCTACAGGCAGGTATAGAAAGAATTTCTAAGCTCAACAAAGGAGGTTTCGAGGTTGTCGTTAAATCCACTGAAGATGTCGAAATCCTCGAAACAACAGCTCAACAACAAGATATCCCAGCGGAAGTCACCCGTCCATGGAAACGTAAGCCAAGATGCACCGTCCATGACTTGCTTTATCCACACAATCAGAAGAAGTACTCGCAGAACTCAGCGGCGTCACTGGAATGCCTAGCTCCACCTTTAAACCTCTATTCCGATTACAAGAACGTCGTAAAGGCAAAATCAAGTGGGTTTTTAAGTGTGAGCCGACAGGCTTTGCAGCCATCATGCAGCACAGAAAAATCTTCCTCGGCTGGCAGGCTCATAGAGTCTCAGAGCATATTGGCCTCCAGCGATGTTTTAGATGCTAGCAATATGGGCATAAGCAAGCTGACTGCAGAAGTAGAAAACAATATTGCTCCTACTGTGCAGAAGAACATGGGAACCGTGATTGCACAGCCCAACAACCACAGTGTATCAACTGTGGTGAGGCCAACTCCCGCTATGGCACCAAATACAGCTAGTTCCATCCAGCCTATGCTGCAGAATGCCCACAATACCAGCGCAAGGTACAGTCAATCCGAGATAATACAGAATACTGCTAATCTTGATTTATCAAACGTCATAAATAAAGGTACAATATGCAGTACATTATCTATCAAATGTATACAAATAAATTTACAGCGAGCAAAAGCAGCAGTTGTTCAACTAGCACAATTTGCAGCAGAATTTGGTGCTGACCTGATAATGGCTCAGGAACCTTACACGCGAGACGGAATTGCAGGGGGAGTTCCATTGCAATGGACAATTTATCAACAAGGAAATGTAGAATATCCTCCTAGGGCCATTATTATTAACTGCAACAAAAAATGGTCTCCGGCTATCGTAGCAATTGAACGCGATAATGTTGCAATCATTATAGAAGCACAAGAAGCATCTTTACTTTTTATCTCACAATACTCTCCTCCTTCTGCAGATATTTTGGCTACTACACAGTTTCTTACAGATACCCTGCAAAAGATTAAAATTCCTCTTAAAATAATTACAGGCGATTATAATGCCCACAAACACGGTTTGGGGGTATGCTTCTACGAATGACAAAGGAAGCCTTCTGGAGGATTTTCTGTCTGCTAATCATCTTGTTTTACATAACACAGCAGACATGCTCTCCGACATATGACAGAATCTACGCACAAGGGCTGGCCTGATTTGACGGTCAGCTTCAGCCTCAGCTGCACCATTAATACAAAAATTGGAGGGTTAATGGATGAAATTAGCTTAAGCGACCATCGTTACATTACTTTTTTCAATAGAGCAACCGACGACAATTAATATTATTCGTCGTTACAACCTACCTGGTAGGCGTAAAACGTGCTTTTACTACTAGAGGTCAAGAATTTGATTTGAAGGTATTGAACAACAGCTAACTCAAGCGAACTCTCAAGAGAAGAATTGGAGAATTTCACAGTGACTCTACAAAAGTGTATACAGCAAGCGTGTGATGACATATTGCCACAGCGTAAAGTACTAAAAAACTGACTGCGATCAATTGGTGGAGTAGTGAACTTCGTATTCAGCAGAGGCAGTGTCGCGCATTACGTCGAAGGTTAAAGACTGAGCGTAGACTAAACCTTCCAGCTAAGACCCTCCCAATTTATCAACAGGCAAGAGCGAAGTACAAACGTTCAATTTTGCAGGCTAAAATCAATTCATGGCATGCTTTTTGTACAGAGTCACAAAACATCTATGGTATTCATCATAAGATTATGACTGGAAAGCTGTTTAGGCCTGCCCAGTTACACATCCCTACACGAATAAATTTTACTCAGGACTACACAAGGGAAACATTAATACAGATCCTGGATTCCGTCTTCAGTCAGGATGACCCAACCGAAGATTCTAAGCAACAAGAAACTATACGTACAGAACAGATGTCTACCAACGTGCCACCGGATAGGGATATTACATTGAAAGAACTAAAACATATATTAGCGCATTTGCCAAAGAAAAAGGCCCCTGGCCTGATGGCATTGATTACGCAATCGTTAAAAACAGTCGTTTTGGCCAAGCCAACAATCTTTGTTAGCTTTTCAATAAATTGCTAGTTACGGGTACATTCCCGAAATCGTTTAAAATCGGACAAGTGGTGTTGTTTTTGAAAAAAGATCGCAATCCAGCGGAACCCACATCTTTCCGACCAATCTGTTTACTTCTAGCTCTTGGTAAACTGTTTGAAAAACTCCTTATGACCAGACTACGCTATTATCTACACGTTAATAATATCCTCAGTCCCAGGCAATATGGATTTAGGCCAGGAACTTCCACTTTACACGCTTTGCATGATATCAAAGAGGCTATCATGGACAACAAATATCACGGTCTCCATACAGCACTCATCAGCTTAGACCTGAAGAGTGCATTTGACAACTTATGGTGGCCAGCGATCTTGCAGGCTCTAAGAAGTTCTGGCTGCCCAAGCAATATCTTTAATACTATAAATCATTATCTACAGGATCGAAGAATAATGATTATACATTCAGCGGGAATTATTGAAAAGTCACAGACGAGAGGATGCCCGCAGGGTTTCCTGCGCAGGTCCTCAAAACTCTGGAATTTAACCTTCAATAAGCTACTCAATGCTTCCTGGCCTGCGCATACGAAACATTTTTTGCCTATGCCGATGGACGCGGCCTTGGTTGTCAAGGGACATTCTCGTGAAGAATTGCAAAAGAACTGCAATGAGGCCTGTCAAATTTTCCAGCGAAATTGTGACGAACTGAAATTAGTCATAGCAGAAAATAAGTGTCAAATTTTACTGGTGCCTAAGAAGGGAGGCTCTTTGGCAAGGAGACCGCGTATTCTACTCAATGGTCAGAGGCTCAAAATTGTAAAAGAATTAAAATATCTTGGTGTTACCTTTGATGAAAAACTTACGTGAATTCCTCATGTTCTCTCTATTAAAAAGCGTACCCTGGCCATCGCCAAACAACTAAGACAATTTATGGATACAAGTGGGGTTTGAAACCACCACATTCAAAAGATCTTATACACAACGGTTGTAGAAAGTTAGTAACTTATGCAGCAGCAATTTGGGCTCTCCCTATGCAGAGGAGAAAAAAATCAAGCATCTCTTCTACTATTCAGCGCCCTTTTGCCTTAGGAATAACTGGGCATATATTACTACTTCCACTGATGCAATAAATGTCTTGGCTGGTTTGCTCCCACTGCATATTAGAACTGATGAGGAAGCAACACGACAAATGTTAATACAGCTACACAAGCCAATAGCATTTGCTGAAGAAAATTTTACTTCGGAGGAATATGAAACCAAACTAACATATCTGACAGCATTCACCCTGCGGATTATGGTGTTGGCATTAGACTACATGTCCCGCCTACAGAATACCGTAGCCCCTCGAGTATAGTAATTTATACGGATGGATCTAAAATTGAAGGAAATGTGGAGAGCGCATTTGCTGTCTTACAAAAAAATAGTGTCATTGCACGATGGAAGGCCATTTGGCTAACAATAACAGTGTCTTTCAAGGGGAAGCAGTAGCAATAGCTCAAGCTATTCGCTACTTGCTAACCCACCAAATCCTAAAGGCTACTATAAAGTCTGATAGCCTTTCAGCTATTTATGCGATTAGTAATCCAGAACACCCATCCAAAATCATTAGAGATATTCAACAAGACCTTAGAAAATATCAACGCCATGACATCCACTTAGCTTGGATAAAGGCACATATGGGTGAATATGGAAACGAAGTTGCAAATACTCTCGCCAAGGAGGCCGCTTTTGGAATTGCTGCTGAACAAATTCACATACCTTGGCCGCATTCACATTTGAAATCTGCATTACGTCTCAAAGCAATCAGTAAATGGCAAGAAGAATGGGATTATAGTACCACTGGTCGTCTACTTATTACCATATTTCTTACGTTACACAAGATAGATGCTGTGGAAATCCCCATCTGACACGTTATATTTCAGGGCATGGCCCTTTTCCTCTTTATTTTGAGAGATTTTTAAAATAAGCGATTCCAGCTTTTTGCACCTGCGGAGAGTTAGGCTCTCCGGAGCATTACCTTGAAAAATGCCCTCTTACAGAAAGGCTTACATATCAGATTTCCCTTCGCAAAATCGTCAAGCCTTTTGCAAATTTCTAATCAAGCAGAGGCACTTGATTAATAAAATTAACAAGGTTATGGAAAAGGTTAAAGGTCTTGGAATAGACCTGTGCCAGGTGTTAGCATTCATAGGCATAATGCATTGATGCAAAGTACATAATCTCGTGGTAAAACTCTGGTTTAATGCTACATTTATAAATTTTAGTGATATTCTTATAACGGACTGATCTAATGAAATGATCATTGTACTGTATCTTATGCACCCCCCGATGAAAAACAATATGTTTACTTTGCTTATTAGTTACCACAGTCTTAACGTACCCTTTCAAATAGTCACTCAGTACAAATTCTATCAAATTTTGTGTCTCTGAAATGTAAAAGTAAAATATTTCATAAGAAATTACTGTACCAGTGTAGTGTATTGTAGCAGCAAATATGAGGGTACACCATTTATTGGTTTTTGTTGTTCCAGAATGCTTACATTTGTATGAATGATACTTACACTCCGAAGGCTGACATAATGTCTGAATTTGTAAAGCACATTAAGTATGTACTTTTCAATGATCCTCACGACTTGATCCTGTATTTGTATGATTCTATATTCCACATTCTGCTCCTAATGTGTATGTGTATTATTTTGTATGGCATATTCTATGTATATATATATACAGCGCATTATTTATTTACTTATTTTTATTTATTTATTTATTTATTTTATTTATTTATTTTTTGAAGTTTTTATGTATGAAAATATAATAATATTTAATCATATAATTAATTGATACTTAGTATTTTGCATTTTAAACTGTACACGCACCAGCATTATGTTTTAATAATCCTGTTTGATTATATACTGTATCATGCATATGTAGGATATTGTATTTTTTTTTATTATTTTTTTTTATTTTCTTTCTTTATTTTTTTTTTTTTTTATTTTTTTAAGGTTTTTATGCATGAATAATATAATATTATTTAGTCATATAACTTAAATCGATACTTAGTATTTTACATCTTAACTTTTGCATTTTAACTGTATACGCACCAGCATTATGCTTTAATAATCCCGTTTGATTATATACTGTATCATGCATATGTAGGAAATTGTATGGTTTATTTATATTGTACGATATCGTAAGTACTGTAAAGTATGACCTGTAGTCCCACTAGTCTCTAAATAAGGGTGGACGTGGTGCTATTACCAGTTAACCATAACGGTAAAGGGATGGTGCCCACGTCATCCGTCACTAAACTAAACTATCTCTCTCACTAAGCCTTAGAACTTCGCGGTTATATACCACTCTTCCTCATTAACATTCAGACGTGATTCTAAAACTACGTTCTGGCCGGAAGTGGTAAGTTGAAGTAAGAATCGATAGGAAAGGAAGTTTAACTCAAAAATTTAACTGTTAATAAAATTAACAGAATCTGTACAACTTAAAGTTAATAAACTGTAAAGTTTCATTAAGCGTGAATAGATATCAGTTCAAATGTTTTAGAATTTTCTCTTTAAAAAAGAAGTTCTTTGAATCTAACTGGTGCTCATATTAAAAGAGGAAAGGAAAGACGCTTTTACTCTGAATGCGTTTCTCTCTGAAATCTAGAAGAGGCAAGCTTTAAAGGTAAATCTAAAGTAAAGATAAATTTTCCAAAGCTGAAAAAAGTAAATCAGTTCTCTGCATTAAACAAGAGATTTAAATATAAAAAATTAGACACTAAAATGTCATCTTCTGTGAAATATTTGTTAAAAAACTTCTAACTTAAAACAGCAGGTAAAACGTTCATTAAAATAAACTGTAACCATTCTTATATTATTTCTTTTTTCTGGGATAACGGTTGAGAAAGAAACGAAACGTCCTAAGATTTCGAACTTTTTTATAATTTTTAGGTGATGGAATGAATTTTTATTCTTTTGATATTTGAAATTTTGAATAATGTCATGTAATAATAGGACATATGACATTGTGGTGATTATCACATATGACATGTGATAATTGTTGACATGAAATTTAACTGAACATTGTTGTTTCTTAGGTCGGCTTCTTAATGATCGCACTCTTCCCGAAGAAGTTCCTATTCTGACTTTGAAAGTTATGCAGGCTGCTGCATTAAAAGAAGATGTTATCTTGCTTTTACATCAAGATCGAGAAAAGCATCACCTTATGAGTTATTTTTATCGCATAGAATTGTTACCAGAGGACGAACAGACTGAAATCGCTGCCTTGGTTAGTTTCACATCGTCTCTTAAAATTCTGATCTTTTTATCAAATGATTACTGACAAGGAATCTTCTTTCAATAATTGTATTAAGTTCTTAATAAGAGTTTAAACGTTGTAGATTTAATCTTTGTACCACAGATCTATTTGAGATTTAAAAGATTGTAGAGACATTAGGTATTTTTTGGAAGCAGGAGAGACTGAAAAATTAGCAACGCCTTCGCCGGGAATCGAAACCCGGACCTCTGGAATACGCGCCCAGCATCCAGACCACCACATCACGAAGGCATGTTAAGAAGGCGGGAGAATTACCTTATACACTCCCCCTTTTGAAGGGCGACTGAGGTTTTCAGGCGACCCAGTTGCCAAATCCTGAGTTTGGAGAGTCATCATCCAACATCTTTTTAGTTCGAGCGCCACTGTAGTGTCATTAGGTATTTTTTGGAAGCAGGGAAGATGAAAAATGAGCAATAGCAACGCCCTCTCCGGGAATCGAACCACGGACCTCTGGAATACGCACTCAGCGTGCAGAACACCACACCACGAAGGCATTCCAAGAAGGTGGGAGAAATACCTTATAAGATAGCAGGGGGCCTGCATAAAATTATTCTACCTAAAATTTACGTTTTAACTTCTACAATGTTACACTTCTTTACCGATAAGTATCGAAGGAATGCCTTAATATTTGTAAACAATTCCAAAATATAATACACAGGTGGTTATTTATATAAAGATTGTTACCCCAAAAGAGATGTTAATCTCGAAACGGCATTTTGCGTTGAATCACTAAAAAGGGCGTATAACTTTTCATGTTGTTGCCACTACATATTTTCGCCCTGTATTATGTTTGAAGAATCTGCATGAACATAAGTATGTTTCTCGCATTGTGAAAAAACAACTGTACCTAGAGCTATCAAATTTTGAATGACGTAGTACTCTACCCAAACATAAGCACCTGGAAGCCCGAATATTGAATTTCGAATTTGTTTATTATCTATTTCGTATTTTATGAAACTTTAACGAATTTTTTATTAACAAACTCAGCGATTTCAAAGCGAGTAGTAGCAACATTTTACCGAAAAGAAAAATGTTTATCTCCTGCGCGCGAGACTGTCTATCAGAAATTCTAAAGACATGCTGCTTTTAAATATTTTGCGATTTCCTGTTGAATTGAGTTGTATCAGGAGTAAGTGCCAAGAGCGTGATATTTAATAAATAAACTCACAAAAATTTAATAATAAAAAGACCAAATAAAAAAAGTTGTATATATCCATCTTAGTAAGAAAACTGAACATTGATATGATGAACTGAGGAAAGACTGAAAACCAAAAAATATGTGCCAGCACCTTGACGCTGCATCGGGAATTCTAAACATATACTGCTGTACTGCTTTTGAAATTTTTGTATATGGCGTAAGCATGAAGATAATGATGATTAAAAAAAATTAAAAAGACAAAAAAAGGGGGGTTAGTAGGAGTGAGTTCAACAGCAGGCTGGTAGTCTTCGAGCTCAGCGGGAGTATAAAACACTTCAACAAACCCTTTCGGGTGACCGTTAAAATTTGAAAGATTTCAATTTTTTTTTTTTTTTTTTAAATTTAAATAAAGATTTATTTTTACTTTTTAGGTGAGACGATCAGTATACTTTTCTGAAAACATTCTTGAAATTCGATAGCATCGGAAGCTGTGCAGAAATAGGAAGTATTAGATTCTAGAATGCTAAAGAGTTTAATACTTTAAAATTTAGATAAATTTAAAAGCTTAAAATTGTCTACATATTCATATGAATTTGCCATTTAAGCTTTCTTTAGTAAACTAATTTATTTTCCCATGTTATATGTTGATTTAGTTTTGTCAGACATTACAGTCTTTATTATTACATTTAAGGGTAATTTTACAAGCATTTTGTCTACATACTCTTAGCTTTTGAACTATAATCAAATAAAATCTAAAGTTTGTAAATACCGTAATTCATATGGTTCACTAAAAATAGTCAGATACCAACCAAATTGTGCTTCTCATTTCTTTACGAACCTTCGTACACGATTTTTTTCGTTCTGCTTTGCATAATCCCTCAGAATATATTTACAACCTAGAGAGCCAGGCTGGCAAAATATTGTATGCATTACTGATTTCGCAAAATATTCACACAGTGATTTTCTTCTGTATAATAAAATTAAAAATTCTTTTGAATTAAATATAAATATCAAACATTCTTCACTCGTAAAGATTTGTACTTTCGTATTGTTACATTGTTCAGGTATATTAAGCATTCTAAGTTTTCCTTTTCTCTTCGAAAATATAGTAGAAATAACTCATCTACTTGAAACATATTTCTTGATTTTTAAAATATTAGCAAAATAGGAAACTTCTTTTTATTTACATGTTGCATAGATGTGTAACCTGTGCTCTAACGGTAGCAGTTACGACTGGTTGACGTACATTTCCGAGTGGGAAGAAGACGGCAGGCCTTGTAGTAACAGCCGAGTGACGGTCCGTGTTGCCGTTCACGCCCTCTTATCACAGAGACCAGATATAAGAGATCGAGGATGCGCCTTGGTTTTCAATTTGGCACTCAAGAAAGAAGTGAGTATATTTTACACTAATAAACATATTTTAGTAGAATACTGAGTAATGAATCTTCAGACTCAAAATATTTAACATAATTAAGCAATATTGATCAAATGACAAGCAAAAACGTGTGCTGTTTCTTTCACTGAATATAATAGTTTTCCTTTTTATGCTTAATAATCTCTGTCCGAATTTTTATAATTGTAGTTAATGTATAGGTCTTTAAATTTCATATTTTTTCTTATTTAATTATATAATTGCATTTCAAATCATAAGCAATTTGATTCATCTATGGAAGATGTTTCAAATATTAATTTTTTTACATAAAAAAGGGTTGCACTCTTTCTTAATAATTGTTTAGAAATTGTAATAATTTTTCAGAGCTTTTATAGTTATTATATAAAAAGCAGAACCCTTTGTAGTCATTAATAAATTTATCAGTGGTTAGAGAATTTCCTAATTCACCGAATCCTCTAGAAGCCCATCAGCTATTCTTGCAAACACTACATAATTAGTTTTTATTATGATTCTCATTAAAACAAAATTCTTACATTTTTGAAAAAATCCTTAGTATGATGACGTAGCTTTGCAAAGATGTTAGAATTTCATTTTTAATTTGGATCTTAATGTTAAACTGTTATGCCACGTTTTTTTAATTCAATTAAGATTGCAATCTGAAAGATATCAATGAATCAAGAACAAATGGCGAAATATATGCAGTTCTGATGGGAGGTTAAACAGGTCTCGAAATTTCATAAGCACTAAATTTTCCTTTGTAAACTATGAGACCATCTATGAGAGAATTAATACGAGGTTAGTCAGATAAAAGTATCTCTGACAGACGGCATGTGCCGTTAAAAAAAGGGGGGGTTCGAGTCTGCGTATTGGTTTGAAATTGAATTGAATTACGTTGTATGATGTTTGCTCAAAATGTAGCTATACTTTCATGATTGTAATATGCAATATATGACATATGATAGTGATTCAAACTGACCTTCGAAAACTTTTATGGAGTCATTAGGTTATTTTGAAGCAGGAGACGTGAAATGAAAAATAAATGTGCAGTACCGTTGCCGAGTCTTAAATCCTGAACATCTCGAATATGCATCCAATTACACTACGAAGGCATGCAGAAAAGAGGGAGAAAATTCCTTTTACACTCTCCTTCTTAAAGGACAACTCGGGATTAGGGGTCACAAACTCCAAATCCCTTGCCAAAAAGGTGGCAACGAATTATCGTCCACCACCTTTTGGTTTGGGAGCCACTTTTAGAGTCATTAGGTTATTTTGAAGCAGAAGGCGTGAAAAATATGTAATGTCCTTGCCGGGACTCGAAACCTGGACTTCTCGAATGCGCGTCGAATATGCTCCTAGTTACACTACAAAGGCATGCGTAAAAGTGGGAGAAAATGCCTTACCCCTTGAACGTTGTCATGCGCAGTAATCCCAGCGAACTGATCAAGCAACCGCTCGCCTTTGTGCTAGGCATCTATCCGTTCATTGCCACTATTCTGACGTTATGAGCACTATAAATAACAGTACAGGCAGAGGTGTAGTAAGATTGTATTAAACCTAAGTTCAGTACTAACATATAATAAAGAATTTTCTTTCATTAAATTGTGTATGCATTTTTCTGACGGACCCTGCATTCATCAAAAACAGGAAAATGACCTAATATTCTGTTTTAGGAAACTAAAAAGCAAACAAGCCTGTAGAAACCCAAACAGTGGGAATATAGAAAAACTGAAAGCAAATCTAAAAGTCCAACCGGAGACAAAATCTCTGTAATGGAGTCAAGGAGTGCACCTGAAGCAGAAAAAACCAACTGGAAGACCAATCGTCGAAAAGGATTTCGACACTTCAAGATTTTTCAGACCTCAAAAGAAAAGGAAAACATTTTAATTCGGCACACTAATGAGTAATACTAGAATAGCTTCTCTTCCGCTAAACGCTCAGCTTAAAGTGATTTCGACTGTTCATGAATTGAAATTATTTCGCTTTAAATACAGTTGATTCTGTTAATTAAGAGCTTACATGCCCCCATCCAATATTCGTTTTAGCCCAAAGGGATGTTAGCCGACAAGGCCTGTTTAATCTCGAAACGGAATTTTGCGTCGAATCACTGAAACCGTTGAATCACTTTTCAAATTGTTGCCACCAAATATTATCGTCCTGTACTATATTTAAAGAAATTAAATAATGAAGTATCTGCGTGGATGTATGTATATTTCTCGCGTTCTGAAAAAAATAACGGTATCTAGAACCATCAAATTTTTAATAACGTTGTCCTGTACCAAAATATGGGCACCTGGAAGCCCGAATTTGGAATTTGTTTTATTATTTATTTTATATTTTGTGAAACTTCAACAAATTTTTAGATTTCAAAGCGAGCAATGGCAACATTGTACGGAATAAAACATTTTTATCTTTAGCGCAGGAGACCGTCTAGCGGAAATTCTAAAGATATGATGTTTTTAAAGATTTTTTAGAACAAACGAGGGTTAACCCAAATGCTCTCAAAATGTGTATGTGTGTGTAAATGAAAACTACGTAATATAAAATCCGAGAGCTTTTAAGACTTTTTATTTCAGTGCAAAAAGATCTTTCTAATGGCGATGATATCGCCTTCAAACGGCATGTAGAGGTTAATTTTCTAATATACTTGAAAGATAATTTAAATATCATTTGATGTAAAAAGCAACTTTAATATACTAGGAACTCCTAAAAACTTGTACTTAGTAAATTGTTCAGTAGTAAGACAGCTGACAAATCAAGAGTTAAACTTTCAGAAAAGTGTATACAGTTTTCAGTTTCATTTGAATCTTGAGAACAATGTATCGATATTTTGCATCTAGCCAAGAAATAAAGACATTCCTTATTAAGCTACGTACTTTTTCTACTCGCATGTTTTCCCTCCCCGCGCTTTTAGTATATTATTTAGAAATTTCTGATTTATGGTAATAATGCAAAATATATTCACCGTTAGAAAAGTATACTGTGTAAGAATATTTCTTGAAATTAATTATCATATCTTTGAAAATAGAATCTAGTGATAATACGTAATTTATAAATGCTTTTTTCTGCACTTTCGACAAGAAAAATTAGCGAAAAAATCTGATGTGGGCATTACATGATTTCCTTGTGTGCCTACTAAATTCTTCACATTTTTGCTGCACTTCATTTAAGCTTATTTAATCGAATTATCCCAACTTAATTAACCGATTTCACCAAGCAATGACATCAAAAACTGCAAATTTTAAAATTAAATATTCCGGTTAATATTTTTCCTTACGAGAGTCCAACTTCTTGTATTTTTATTTTTAGTAATAAGTATGAAACTTTGTCAAGTATAAGTACAGAAAGCTGGAGATTACCTTAAAAGATAGATTTCTTTATTTATCCCAAACTGTTTTTTTTTTCTATTATTATTATTATTTTCCAAAACATGAATGTTTCCGTCATTTAAAACGCTTCTGTAATTAGAAGTGTATGACTATAAGGACTTTTAAGCCGACTAAGGGGGGGGGAATATACATATACTTTGGTATCTAAGCTTGCAATGAAAAAGGGAGATGCACAACCAGATGTTATAACAGTCCCACATGCAAATTTTCAATGTTCTATGGCTAATCTTTTTTGAGGTAATCGAGATACATACGTACACGAATAGCTCAAAAACGTATGTATAGACGTCACGAAAAACTTCATTTTGAATCCATTTTACGATCTGTTTTGGAATAAACTCTGTCCATACGTACAAATATCACGCAGAAAAGTAGTCAAAATGGATACTTCCGTTGAAATCTATCTAATCTGAAAATCTTCTTTGCTATTACAATACTTCCTTTTACTTCGTACAAGGAAGAAAAACTGTGGGACTACGCGATTAATTATGGTTAATATACCATTAAATATATTCACACCTGTTCTAAACTAAAACTGCAATTTGTTTCTTGTCTGTTAAATCAATAAAAAAATTCCTTAAAAGTATGATAATTGTTTGATGGGTAATTGCTTGATATCATCAATCTACAAATGTGATCATTTAAATATATTGTTTTCCTTAAAAAAAGTAAGAAAACGGAAACATTTATTTAACTTTTTTTCAAGTGCTTTTAATGAATATTTACTACTCAATTAATAATTGTTCGTGCTTTCAACAGAAAGAATGCATAATTAATATTCTATTTTTTCCTTATCAGCTGTTTGATGATATTGCCACAGAGTTAGCTATGGCCGTGCTTCAGTTCCTACAGTCTCAGCTTTCAGAAGAGCTACGTGAGTAACATCTTTTCTTCTCCCATCCTCCATTTTGGGTTACCATCCTTGTTAAACTCTGAAGAGTTTAAGGTCATGGATACATCTCTAAAAACATACACAGCAGCTGCTATTTTCGTCTTTATAACCGCCAGCGCGTCTGCAGATGATCAAAGACTCCGAGTTTGTTGCTCGATTCTTTGTGTCACTTTTTTTTTTAAACTCGTTCCCGCTAACGAAAACGGATCTTCGAAAGATATTTCTTCGATCAGAATTAAAAAAGCATTTTAAATATTTAATTAGCTATAAACTTCTTCATGCAGAGTGAGCATACTCTTAGTTAAAAATTTATCTTACATCTAATGTTGTTACTTGCTTATATAATTCAAAATTGTGATAGAAGATGAGTAAAATTTCTTCAGTCCAAGGATTATATTCGCTTATTTGAATAAGCTGAATTCAGAAATGCGTATGGAGCGTTGCATTAAAACATTGTTAGGAATAAGGATTGTGAAGGTTATTTATTTTTTGCTTGTTAGTTTTTTATGTAAATAGAAGATAACAATTTACATAATATGTTTTAGTAATTTTGATTATAAATAGTTCCATACTGCAATTAAATATCACTCATTTTTTTTGTGGAGGTAATGCACATGGGACTAGTTGCTAATCGTTACGCCTAATTCGTGAAAACGAATTTGCGTGGTCATTATTATCGCCATTTTTTAACATAAACACAATTTTGAGTTCAAACGCTTTTACTATAATTAACGTATAGATTAAAAAAAAAAAAAAAAAAAGAAAATTTTAATAGTTCATCAATTAGTTAAGTTCATCATTGTGAAAATAGCAAAGGTTTTAGCTAATTGATATATTTTAACCATTAATGCTTAATACGAGTAATATTAGCTGCCACGTATATGGGGCTTAAATTCAGTCGGAACCTACTGCACTTTCATCACTTTTCAGTTTTTGAGAGAAATCATAATTCGAGTCGAACTGCACCGGAGCTCCAAATTAAGCGAGATCCGATATTTTCTTGCATAACTAGATCTCAATATTAACAGGAAGTTAGGTTATGGCAATTTGTTTAGCTGCGAATGAACTCGTATGGCTACTTTTGAGTGGTCTAAGATAAATCGAACCCAAATTAAGAAAGAACACATGAACTGTAAGGCAGTACCATACAAGTAAAGAGAGACGAGGTCAGTATGCGTCACAGCTCCCTACCTAGCATTTGAAATGTAACTGCTTGTTGCTACATCAAATACATTTACACTTTTCTGGTTCTTCTCTTTTGTGTCCAATCCGGTTTATCTCGGGCCACTTTATAGATACTGCATATACATCTTACTTTTCCTCAGAAGAGCAAATTACTTGAGAAGACATGAACAGCTTGAAGAAGAAAATCTCATTGTCAAAATCTCATCACTTTGGGGAACTTTTGGGTCCGATATTTTTCCAGAATTGAAAACTTGGGCTGCTTTCATCTGCTTAAGAAAAATTTTAATGGATTAGGAACTAAAACAAGGGATCAGTTTTATCTGATACCGAAGGATACTGTTTAAGATATTAACTTTTCTTTTACCCTCGGTACCATGTCTTACTGTCATTTTCTATTCGTGTTTGATTTATTATTCCATTTGGTTTTTATGGTACTTTTTTATTTTTATTTACATCTTTAAATTTTTTATTGAATTTTAATCTCTAATTTTTTTATTTATTATTATTTACTTACATTTTCCAACCATTCCTGATAGTGTTTCATAAGGTTAAGTCATTTCTCATTTTAGAAATTAGACTATCGTGCTGTTTTATTTTGCTTTAAGTTTACTTACATGACGTTTTTGTCACTAGCTTTCTTATTAGAAATCGAAATATCGTTAATTTTTATTTAAATTGCTCTCTCATCGCCCCTCGGGTCTGAGAATTTGATTTCTCTGTGGCAATCTTGATACATTTTCCTTTCAAATAAAAATTGATTTTTATTTTTTTCTGGAATATTTTCAGTTTAAAGGCTAAATATTTTCTTATTTTTTTCTTATAAAGATTAGTTCTTTTTGCAACTTCTAAGTGCACATTGGCCGGCATGTAAAAGATCTTCTAATGACTAACTGTATGTATACTTACACTACAAGAGTACGTACGAGGAAATGCGCTACCTCTTTGCACTCTTCCTCACTTGAAGGGCGAGTGAAATAAGACACGAGATTAATCAAACATGTGAAGCGAATTAACCTCCTCCATCTTTAATTCGCCTGCCATTGCAAACACTTTTCAGAGCAGCAAAATGAACACTTATCCGCCAGAATTTAAACAATGGTTCTTCCTATCGCTAACTAGATGTGCTAGCCAGCTGGAGATTGGTTAGCACACCAAGTTCCAGGCGACTGACGTGCATGACCGCAATACTATAGCCGACAGAATGTAATAATCCTGTGCAACTTTGTCACAGAGAAAGAGGTAGAAACTCTGATTCATACTGGCCGCATTCTGTATGGAAATAAAGAAAAACGTTTATTAGCTCCATTAATGAGAAACATATATAAAGACAAATATATATATTATGATACTATTTCATATGACCCGTTTCATTTCCAGAATTTTTATTTAAACGTAAGAAAAAAATTGTAAATTGTAAATTGCGGAATATGGGAAGAACTGTTGCTCGCAGAGTGAGCATACTCTTATTTACATATAAGTAACAATCAAAGCAAACAAAAATTGAAAAAGGAAAGATTTTGTAACAGCCAAGTATGCATTGGAATTTTGATTGCCAGGCTTGAAGGATGCCTTCAGGTGCATTGAATTTTAATGAACAATATATTCTTCGAAAAAAATTATGTTTTGTAAAATTACATAGAGTGCCTTATACTGAGCCCTTTTAATTAATTTTCGAATCTGCAATCATTATAATAATAGGCAAAATCTTTTATGAGCTTTAGCGATGATAACATGGCCATTTTTAACGACGCCATTTTAAATATCTTAAACTCTAAATTCAGTTTATTTAAATACCTTTGTTCTCCAAACGATTACATCCTTTACACCAAAAATTAGACTAATGTTAAACGAATTTTATATTATTTTTGTATAGATTGTAGAGACATTAGGATTTTTTTGTAAGCAAGAGAGATTGAAAAATATGCAACGCCTTTGCCGGGAATCGAACCATGGACCTCTCAATTACGCGCTGAGCGTGCAGACCACTACACCACGAAAGCTCGCTAACAAGGCAGGAGAAATACCTGATAAGATTAAAAAACTTCGATCTTATTTTAGAGCAAATGCTAAATAATGGCCTTTTAATCCAATCTTATGTAACTCCCAACAAATTTTGACCGAAAAATGTAATAACTGTGATTCCACTGCTTAACAACTGCAAAGTATGGTCGGATGACAGTAAGTTGCACTTAAATAACTCTTATTTTATAACACTTTAAAATAGCATCCATTTCGTAAACATAAAAAAGTGGAAGTTATAGATATATGACTATATTATTTATACCATTTTATAATTTTGTTTTGACTCCTTATACTGAACCATAATTTTACGCAACTAATTTTGAATAAAAATATTAATACGGCCGTCTTTGTTTTTATAATATACGTTTCTTTAAAACGAATTTGCTGTAATGATATTGATTAATTGATAAAATTTACTTGTAAAAAGGTAATTTATTGCACAAATTATTATTATACAAATATGCTTTTATGCGATTTCATTCCTGGGGCTTTAACCACTCGCAGGAAAATATTTAATCTTTGCTGTCTGATTGAAAAATCACGCAAGGCTATCATCTTAAAAGGAGGGCTGTCATCGTGATGACTTTTCTAATGGTCCGAACTTCATATTTTCATTGTATATGGAGAGAAACCACAAAACGTCATGCTAAGGAGTTGCAAGGAGCCAAAATGCTGAAAAATTACTAGTGCTTCGCCGTTCTATTAAACCAACTGTTGTGGGTTTAATATCAACAGAAGCCCAGGAATTATTTTCATGATGCAGTGTTTCAGAAGAACAATATGAATAAACATCTAACTTAACTTTTTAGGTTACTTTGATATAGCTCAATTTCTAATAACTTTTACTCTATATATTGTCATGAAATTTGTGTTTGTTTGTTCTTTATGCTCATTAAAGCTATATCCTCAACTTTTCAGTGTTCCAAAGTCTTACTGCCTTGCTGAGATTTATGTGCATAAGCTATAATGAGGTGAGTTATTGAGCCTCTTTCTTTTAGTTTATTTCAGTGAAAATGTGACTTATAACCTACTAATTCCTTTATAAGGTAGACTCGAAAGTGAAAAATAACAGCTGTGCGTTTAGAAAATTCTTATAATGATGATACTAGTATTTTATGGTTCAAAGAATAATAAAATACAATAATAGCAATTATATAAATATATTCTGTAAAATGTGGAATTCATTGCTATTACACATAATATGTTGTCACTTAAAAGTTTCATACTTATACAAAGTTTATAGTCATAGAATTGGCATTTATATTTTAAGGGCATTTTCCAAAATCATATTTCTTAAGATTATTTTAAATAAGGCAAAAAAAGCAACTCTAGTTCGGTGCAAAGCGAACATGATCACAGCAATTATCTGTCGAAGGAAATAGTAATGAACCGTGGAAACTAAGATATTAGAGTTTTGAAAGTACTAGGAAGAATTGGCTGGTAATCAATTTCATTAATTGAAAAAGGCAAATATTTGCAAAAAGCTTTAAGTAAATCTAGCTATCTAAATGACAAATGTTATGAACAGCTTTTGAAAAAGAATCAAAACAGTGATTAATTGTCCAAATATAAATAATATTATTAAATATTTGTTTATTTCTCTTTTTTGGACATAATATTCACATTGCTTGACGCGAAATGTTAACTCTGTTTTAGTTTGCCCGATGTATAACAAACCACACTAACAACATATGTTATAACTTTCCCAAGAATTAAAATCATAGATGGTATTTTCAAGAAGAGTGAAGAGGTGAAATTTAATAAGGAAGAAATAATATCATAACAAACTTATTATGATTATTTCAAATGATGTAATGTATTTTTTTTGATGGCAAGATGAAAATGTTTTCATCTTGCCATCAAAAAATCCATTGCGCCGTTAGAAAGGTCTTTGTCGATGGCTATATTAGAAAATGGCTAATCGATGGCTAAATCTATTCCAAACTAAGCTTGCTTTCTTCACCTGATTTGAAACTTTACATTGGCGTCTGTTTCTCTTCCATTTTATTTTTCAAGATTAGATTCGATTTTTTATGAAGTCTGTTAATTATTCCAGTTTTTGTTTATAATTTGATTATTTTTTAAAGTTAGGTTTTTAGTAATAAGGTTTCTGTTCTATCATATAATGCTTCTCTAACATAAATATTCATTATTTTAGATCCAAGGGTAACTTAATTTTGATATAACTATCTGTCACACGTAAACGATTATAAAATGTACTACATATGATGTAAAGTGTATTTTTGTACGACATCATTTTGAAATGAAATTAATATCATTTTATCACATGTGGAGAAATAAATTAAATTGTACAAAATTGTTGTATAAAATTTCTATAAGATTTTGCTCGATTGCAATATTTAACTACAGGTATTTTCTTAGAGTATATTTTCCCTGCATAGCACGACAGAGATATTATAATTAATATATTCATAGTGGTAGATTACGAAAACAAATGTATTTCTTGAATTACTAGAAAAGCATAATAATATTAAATATATTTGTGAAATGATTTAAGTATTTCGATTTCATTTTTCTGAAAGTTGCGTTACATTCTTACTAATAATAAAACAACATATTAAAACAATTAACTAAAAAATTTGAAATGCTAGTATAATTATTTGTGATAAATAAAATAAATTCGTCTCTGGTATATGTTCGTATTATTCTTCGAAGGTATCTATTGTTCTAGAGCTTATTACATTCCTGCTTTTCAAAACATTGGCTCATTATTGCTCTACTTAATTTTTCATCCTCTGCTTTTGTTATTCATTTCATGAAATGCATTATTACCTGAGATATTATTAATATATGTTAATATTTGTAGCCTTTATCTAAAACAATTAGCTATTCCTATTAAACAAGCCATTCTTTCCAAAAATTTCTTATTTGAAAATATTTACTTTATAAAACTCCAAATGGTGAAATTTTTTAGAGGTCGAAATTTTTTAGAGGTTTTTAGAGGAAAATGCCTGATTCACTTTCTCTTAAGAAGAACAGCTGTAAAAATTGTCTTGATATCTTTGCGACATCAAATATTTTACTGCTTAAAACAAAATCGCATTTGGTTTCTTTACATACTGATTTCAGTTTCGTTGGAAAATTGGATTTGTTACAGTTTGAACAAGCATTGACATAAAGTTTCAAGTACAAAAATTACTGTTAAATGTGGTGGTACTTTTCTGTTATAAGGACCTTATTCATGAATGTGTATTATATACATGTATTTGTATATGTGTACTATGTGTACGCGTGTATACTCACACACAGATACGTACGTATATACATACATGCACACATGTATACATACATACGTATATACATCCATTTCATATAAAGATTTCTGAATCTGATAATATAAAGAACAAATATGGTCAAAATCTAAACAAACATCATTGATTTTATTTTCAAATACCGCAATCTGTCACTTTTATCAGATACAGCGGCGTAAATAGTACAAAGAAAGTTAGATTTTGTGTATGATGATGATTGAGAAAATAACGAAGAAATATTTATGTTGATTGTGTTAAGTACGCAAAACAAAACGAAAGAAAGAAATGAATTTAAGCTGTGCCAAGCAAAAGTAATGTCGCTTTTAAAATGAATAAAGTACTCTGCCATAAATACAAATTATAATTAGCCTCATAATATTTCTACAACATAATATTTTTCAGTGTTTAATATATATGATTAATATCCAACGATTAGTCTCCTGCCATCGATTTCTTCAATAAAAACCGAACACAAATTGAAATTATTTTTCAAACTGAAGCTATTATATTTAATTTTTAGTTTTTAAAATCATAAAAAAGTAATGTGTTTTAAGCAATATAATTAACAACTTTTAAAAGGTTTAATCACGCAGATAAATAGAAAATGGTATTACAGAAATATATAATATTTCATAAAAATAAATAAAACTTATGTGTTACCCTATAGATTGAAATACCTTCTGCATTTTCCTTTTTCTAAAACGTCAGTATATTTTTTATATTTTTTCGTTTTACACTATTTTATTTATACCATTCTACGTTTAAAAATGAAGAAGCAAATTCCAGAGCTTTAAATGTTGAAATTCATTTTGAGTTGGCTTTTAATTTTAAAAGAACAAAGATTTGGTTTTATCAGTCAGCAACAACTGATTTTATTTTTATTTATTAAAAGAAGCGAGGTATTTTTATGTTTTTTATATTTAATGTTTTTGTGTATTCTAATTTTTAACAAATTAATGGTAAACTCTCTTTTTTTAGGTTATACACTGTAATCTGAAGCTTTCAGATTACAATCACCTTTATTTATTTGCTTTCATTATTAAAGATTAATAATTCCATTCGCATTTTTAATTGCGAAACTTAATAAGTAATCAGCATGCTTCAAAAAACTGACAACGTGCCAAGCGAGGAAAACTGGCACAGTCGAGATATTCTGATAAAATTGATTATATCTAACATTTTTAATTTTTAATTAAAAAAAGTTTTAATTCCAAAATATCTATTTTTTCCCGAAAAAATATAATTTATCCTGTGTTTATTACTTTCGAAACTCTTAAAAATTAAATACTTTATATTAGCATTGTATTTTTTTTTTCCTTTTGGTAGGTTCCAGCTTTAATGAAGATGCTGGGACCTGATACTGAACCTTTCCGTACAGTCTCCGCTCGCGTGGAACCTTTAGTAGAGGAAATCCAAATGAAGCTCAAAGTTTCTCGTTGAAATATTTGCTTTGTACTTGTTTTCACAATAAAATGTTATTTCCAAAACTTTCTTATTCTTCACATTATATCAAAATTATTATTAAATGCTCCAATAAATGCAATGATAAATTCTGAAAAAAATGGTACATCAGATTTTAACTTCGTCTATAAATAAATACTTATATTTTCTTGTGGAAGAAATGATAAATATTGCAATAAGTTTAGTAATATTGCAGAATGCGCGCAATAGTTTCACAGACCTAAGTGAGGACCATAAAAATTTAGTTCATGTTTACTTTAGCCACAACAAAAAAGAAGTTTTCTAAAGATGAAGGCAGAGGATGAGCACACATTGACCATGGTAAAAAATTATCACATGTGCAGTTCTTGCACTTCAGGGAAACACATATTAACTTCGTTGCGTTAACTTTGACTGTGTTGACTTAGCAACATCATGGAAAATAGATCCACGGAAAAGAATAGTTTGGTACTGATAGCTTGGTATGAATGTATTGATAGTTTTTATCAACAGCCATTTGGAATGCATAAAGTAGATGCAGATTCGACACATTTGTTACATGATAAACACTGACAGCTGCCATTACTCCAGTCAACTTCTACCACCACTAGTAAAACGTATTATATTCACGTCAACATTTACCTTATCCACCAAGTAGGTGGGTTTCCACTGGCATTTAAATATGCATTATGTTTTCAGCACTGTGCAGATGTAGAGGGAATGCAAATGTGTGATAAATAATAAAAATAATATCTATAATTATTAAGTTTTTAATAATAAGTAGTCACTAAGAGTTTAATAATAATAACGATAATTATTAAGCTTCTTTTTTCCTAAACTTTGCTCTCCCAGAATGTTCTTCGTTTATGCTGAAGAGGAAAAAACAGAAATAAATTGCAGTTTCTGATGAAATTGCTACCAAAGAATGTAAACTATTCAAAGTTAAGTATTGTGATATTTGTTCAATAAATATGTATAGTAGTTACAACTACACCTAAGAGCCAAAACATTATGACCAAGTACTGAATAACGCATTGTTCTACTTTGGCCTGTAAAACAGATGCAATTTGCCTTAGCATGGATGCCACAAGTTCTTAGTAGATGACTGGAGACAGGTTGTATCAAATGTCTAGGCAGAGGTCACGTAAAATCGAGGTATTCCGACTTAATGGTTTTTGAGCTCTGAACTGCCAATCCCAAATGTGCTCTATTCTGTTAAACTCCGGCGAGCTAGGTAGCCAGGACATTACCTGGAATTCCTCCTTATACTCCTCGAACCAATCCAACACAATTTGAGCCTTGTGACATGCGGCGTTGTCCTGCTGGAAGTTTCAATTTCTAGTTCATAAAACAGACGCCATGTAAGGGTGCAACTGATCCGCAATTATGTTCAGATAGTCCACAGTTTTTACGGTCTGTTCTACTACAATTAAGGGTCCCAAAGCTGTCCATAAGAACGTCCCCCAAAGCATAATACCGCCATTACTAACCTGTGTATGAGTTGCCATACAGCGGAAAGCAACTGTTCGTCTGGAACATGATGCACTCTGACACGACCATCGACGTGATAAATGAGAAATAATGATTCATCCAACCAGGCAATCGTCTTCTATTTATCCACGGTGCAGTCTCAATGTTCCCGGGCCCATTGCAGGTGTAGTTGACAATCACGCTTGGTCAACATAGACACGCTTGGTCAACAGAGACAATTACGCTTGGTCAACAGAGTAGGACGTCTGCTGCGCAGTCTCATATCCAAAAGTGTGGGTTGAACTGTATGTTCCGAAACACTTGCACTTAGACCTGCATTGTATTGGGTTGCCAACTAACCCACTTTCCTGCGCCGATTTTGCTGTACCAAGCGGACAGTCTCCGACGCCCTTTTTCTTTGCAAACGCATGGATGTCCAACATCTTGGCTGGTTTCACCGTCAATTTTCCACTTTGCATAAATACTAACAACGGTAGATCATGGACAACATGTCAAACATGCAGTTTCAGAGATACTAGTTCCGAAACCTTTGGGCCATTATAATCTGCACTGCATCAGATTCGCTTATATCAGCAGCCTTTCCTATCACTGTGATTTGTCTTCTCCAGCAGCTGTTAAATACCATTCCTATTTAATCATGTGCACTTTACGTCATCCAGAGGAGTTCATTGAAAATGTGGGGATGGTCATAATGTTTTGGCTCGTCAGAATATTCTTTAATAAAATCTTGAAGCGTTGATCTATGTATATATATAAGCTCCTTCTTCCCTGTTCCCGCAATGTGTTTCCAAATAACTTTCTCTGGACCTCGAAGGCGTCAACACCAGTTCGTTTACACAGGGAAACATAACGTTGGCGTGGCGAAAACATGTTGCCGGCGCATAATGGAGCAAAATAGCCTACAACTCGATCTTTGATCGGAAAATGAAATTTGAGAAAAAAAATCCATCTGCTGTTACTATACTTGTGTAATCAATACTTCGAAGAGTAAGAAAATAAATGTTTTCCTCATAATATAATTCTCTTCCCCATACCTTAGATAGAAACTGTAGTGCATGTGTTTTTTGAGCGGGAGTTTCTAGTCGAAGCTTTCGTAAGATGATATTTGAAATGGTTTATTATTTTATTTTAATGTTTGAGGTATTATCTCCCTTCTTTCCTCATGCCTTCGTAGTTTAATTGGTAGCATACTGGACGCATGTTCGAGAGGTCCATGGTTCGAGTACCGGCTTGAATGCTGCAAAATTTTTCACGTCTTCTGCTTCAAAGAAACAAAACTTAATGATGCTACAAGTGGCGCCCGAATCAAAGTGTGTTGAATGATAATTAGTCACCAACAGGTCTCCCAAGTCGCCTTTTAAAAGGAGGAGTATATATAAGGTATTTTCTCCCTCCTTTACGCATACCTTCTTGGTGTAACTGGAAGCACACTCGACGCGTATTGGGGATGTCAGGAGTTCAAATTCCGGCGAAGGCACTGCACATTTTTCAAGTATCCTGTTTCAAAATAACATAATGACTCTAAAGTTATTTATCCTTGGTATGTCAAGTAGGTACAGGCGCGCTGCAGAATATATTTACCATTCTGTAAATAGCAATAAAATATTTAACTCATAATTGCTAAAATATGCTGTTGTAAAATATTCTTCACAAAAAAATGAAAACAAAGAAAAACAGAAATTTTACTAATTCAGAAGTCAAACAACAAAAATCAGCGTTATATTTTCAAATTTTCACAGGACTAGTTCGATGGTTTTACCGAACCACCATCCTCAGCTGCAAAAAACGCAAGTGAACGAGATATAATGAAGATTCAAATCTAACTGCGAGAGAAAGAACTACTATGCGCGAAATTCATTGGCCGACAAAGGTGGCCAGATAGTCGTCATGGATAAGAACACTTACATCGATGGTGTCACTAAACTCTTAAACGAAGGACCATATCATCCGATCCCTAAAGATCCGTCACCTTCGGACCTGTCAAAAATAAAAACTGCAGCGAAATCTTCACAAATCATTTCAAGCAACTTAATACATTCGCTTATCCCATCTCTTGCGAATTGTGCGAGATTATATGCTCTTCCCAAAATTCATAAAAGTGGTATTCCTTTATGCCCTATTGTATCAAATTTAGGTACTGTCTCGTATCCATTAGCTAAATATTTAGTTTCTAGATTTTGAACTCTATTAGACAATAACATTTATACCATAAAAATTTCAATAGAGTTTGTAAAATGGGTTAAAAACACTTCTCCTAGAAATTTACTCATGGTTTCTTTTGATGCAAAATCATTATTCACCAATATTCCAGTGAAGGGTGCATTAAGATGTCTAGAAACCAGACTTCGCGAATTTCATTTCTCTTGCATCGAAATTAATGAGCTAATTTCTCTCACTCAACTCTGTTTGAAACAAACACATTTTGTTTTCCAAAATAAATATTACAAGCAAACTGAGGGATGACTGAGGGAGCCATGGGAAGCCCCCTCAGTCACATCCTGGCTGATATCTACATGGCATTATTATGAATCAAAATTGTTTGAAACTTTAAACTTCCCGTTATGGTTTCGCTACGTAGACGAAACTTTTAACCTGGTTGAAGGTAATACAGATGATTTAAATAAAGTTCTTTCAACAATGAATTCTATTGATCATGCTATTCAGCTCACTTTTGAACTTGAGACTTGCAATTCTCTTCCGTTTCTCGACATTCGGATCACACGTAACCCATCCAACTTCAGAACTACGGTTTACCGTAAACCTTCATCGGTTTGCCTTTCACCACACTTTAAATCATGGCATCCGATTAAACAAAAGTTAGCTTCATTTTATTCCTATGTTTTCTGTGCTCTTCAAGTTTGCTCCTCAAAACTATACCCCTTGATGAAGAACTAAATTATTGAAAAGCAATAGCTATTGACAGGGGCTTTTCACCCAACATTATTAATCAAGCAGTTAAAAAATTCTCATCTCAACACACTAAAAGGCACGCTCTTGTTTTAGGAGATTATAAAAATTCCATTGTCATTACCTTCTTTCCATCAATTAGCTATAAAGTTGCACATATTTTGCAGAAATTTAACTTTCAGGTCGTTTATTCTTCCATCAATAAAATTCCGAGTTCCATACTCAAGGGCCCCATTCCGAATTTGAATTCCTGGGGTATTTATAGGATTCCTTGCCAGTGTGGTTTAATTTACATTGGCCAAACTAAGAGAGCCTTAAAATTTCGCATCAAGCAACATGAGGCATATGTTAGAAAAACGGAAACACAGAAGTCTTCTGTTGCCTAACATTGTTGGTCCGAAAATCACACTTTCAATTTTTCTGCTGAAAAATCATTCAAAAAACATCTTCCATTGGAGAACTGGATTTTCTAGAGGCATTTCACATTCAAAAAAATCTTTCTGTTCTAGTTAACGATCCTAATTCCAATTCATCTTTGCTTTCGTCCTTTAAAGAAATTATGTTTTAGTTCTGGTTTCATGAACAGATGGCGCCACTAGCTTTTTTTCTGTCGAAGCTTTCTTATCTTATCTGATCGTTATATCTCGTTCAT